TAAAACAAAATATTACCAGGAAAAAAAAAGTTGTCAGCATTAAATGACCCATTGAGGTTGATAATGCCGTAAAACAAAACAAATAAACCAAACCAAACAATTTAAAATCTGCTCAATGTAAGAAAATTGTTCTCCGGAAGATTTTTTAAACGTACTCACTTCCTGTTATACGTTAAACTAATCATTGCCTGCTTTCAGTACCACATGCCGGAGAGCAAATAAATATAATTATCAGAAAATCGTGATCTAGACATCTATTCCTATGATTCTTTTTTTTAATATTCTTTCTATTTTGGCACTGGAATTATCCCAAAAAAAATCTAAACGGGTTAAATGGAAAAGTAAGCTATTTTCAGGATTTTTAGTTCTTTCCAGTAGACCAGCTTTTCTAGATATAAAACCTTATTTTTTAATGCGAAAGTTTTGAGTTAATATTCATTTAAAGTACAAAGAACATGAAAGAGTTCCATAACTGTGCCGAGAATCATTTAAAGAGTTCAAAAGCCACAAATGTCCGCGTGTCTCTATTGGCAACCCGACTAAGAGAAGAAAAACTGAATTTCAAATCAGGAGGAGGCATCGGAAATCACATACTATTTTCAACAAGTAGTGATACATATGAAAAGAATATTTATGCATATTAAAGGAATATTCATACATATTAAAGGAAAATTCCTACATATGAAAGGAATATTCATACATATTAAAGGAATATTCATACATATTAAAGGAATATTCGTACATATTAAATGAATAATCATACATATTAAAGGAATATTCATACATATTAAAGGAAAATTCCTACATATGAACGGAATATTCATACATATTAAAGTAATATTAATACATATGAAAGGAATATTCATACATATTAAAGGAATATTCGTACATATTAAATGAATAATCATACATATTAAAGGAAAATTCATACATATGAAAGGAATATTCATACATATGAAAGGAATATTCATACATATTAAAGGAATATTCATACATATTAAATGAATAATCATACATATTAAAGGAAAATTCATATATATTAAAGGAAAATTCATACATATTAAAAGAATATTCATAGATATTAAATGAATATTCATAAATATTAAAAGAAAATCCATAGATATTAAATGAATATTCATAAATATTAAAAGAAAATCCATAGATATTAAAGGAAAATTCATACATATTAAAGAAAGCTGTGGAGAGTAAGCATTGTCCACACATCCAAGGAATATAAAATTTTAAAAATTCAGTAAGCATTTTCATCAATTTTTGTCGTTTTGTTCTTTGGCCATTACTATAAGAAATACCTTCTTACCAGCAATAGTATTTCATTATGACCTTCCTTCAATAAATATAATTTGTTAAATCATTCCAGAAATGCTATTGATCAATACTTTTTTCCAGACATGCGATCTGAGGAATACCTTCTTTCCGGAAATGCAACCTGCAGAAAAATTTATTTCCAGATATTCAGTTTAATGAAGACCTTTCCAGAAATGCTGTTTGATAAATAACATCTTTAGATATGCTATCTGATATTTACTTTCTTTCAGGAAGGGCTATCTGTGAAAAACGTTCTTTCCAGATATTACTGTTTAAGAAAAACCGTTTTCCCGAAATGCTATTTGAGGAATGCTTTTTTTACCAGAGTTGCAACATGCTGATTACCTTCTTTCTAGAAGTGCTATTTGCTGAAAGCATTTCTTTCCAAAGAACTCAGAACGAACATTCATTCATTTGAACAATTTCTACATAAACTCCGTTCAAAAAAAATCTCTTGTGCGAAATACAAGGAAAACACTGCAGAAATTCCTCTCCAGATATTTCTATTAAAATATGATTACGGAAGAAATTTCGTCTGAGTAAATCGTATTTGTTTGTTTTTTTTTTTGTCAAAACAGCGTTTGCCAGGTTAATATAATATATATATATATATATATATATATATATATATATATATATAAAATACGTTTCATTAAATAATATAATATAATGCAAAATTTTTCAATTTTTCATTTTAATAAATTTTTTCATAACATCTGATAAGTTTAATAACAATTCCGTAAAATACTTGTCGAAACACACTGTAATTATACTTCGACATGAAAACAATAGACAAAAACTAAAAATCCTTGAAGCATTATACATCAAAACAGTAAAAAACCTTTAACTTAAACAAAATCAATTATGACATCTCTACAAATATTCTTAAATGTCTATAATTGGTAACAGAAGCCATTGGTTTATACCAACGGCTTCCCATATTTAATACTTCTCCAATTCACTCTCGCGTGGTCATGTGTGACGTCATAAGATGCGGTGCGATTTTCGCTTCTAGCGTCTTATATACGCGTGTTTATCGTTGCTTAGAAATCATCTATGTAAACATTGACAGACTATCATCACTGTCTTGTCCGTATATTGCTTAATATATTGTTGTAATTGACATCTTTGATAATGGCTTATGTAAGCCGAAAGCTTAGATTGTATTAAAAAAATATGGATCAATATTGTGAATTTCTTTTTTCGTTTAACGATAATGTTATTAAACTTATCAGATGTTACGAAAAAATTTACATAAAATAAATAGACAACACTTGTCTATATTATTTAATGAAACGTGTATGAATGAAAAATATATATAAATAAATATATATATATATATATATATATATATATATATATATATATATATATATATATATATATTTTTATTTTTATATTATATTTAAAAAATTTAAAATTTATTGAAAATAGTTTATGTTTCAATTTTATGATTGTACAATTATAAATCATTTATTGGTTGGTAAAATAAAAAATCTTATCACCAGTTACCAACCATCATCTGATTTTACATGAATAGTATTGAAATGTTTTGGTTTTTAGTAGTTTTATATATGTTTTATTATAATATATATATATAATATATATATATATATATATATATATATATTATGCAGTGTTACATTAGGAAAACATGCACATACCCACTACAAAACTGTACATCTTGTTTCAACGTTTTTAAACCTTTTTAGCGTTTTTTATCACGATGCAACTTCACGATGAGCTTTTTTAAATTAATGTTTAAAACGGACTTCTTTTTCTTCGTTTTTTTACATTTATATATACATATATACATATATATATATATATATATATATATATATATATATATATATATATATATATATACAAATCTGTATATTCTACAAAGGCATTAGGAAAATCTATGACAAAAAAAATTTAAATATAGTCGTTTGATGCTTTTCTATTGTAATCATCCACAGACAGACTGTTTCGTTGTATCACAAAGCTTCAAGAAAATGGCTAGACGTTTTTTTGTTTCTATCTAGGATCGAGATTTGACGAAAATTAATTTCAAAGACTATATATATATATATATATATATATATATATATATAAATTTCCTTTTTGTATTGACCCCTGTTTTTAAATTAATATTTTGAACGACTGAAATCTTAATTTTCGTTCTTTTTTTATATATATATTATATATATATATATATATATATATATATATATATTGCCATATATGTGTGTTTGTGTGTGTGTGTGTGTGTGTGTGTATGTGAAGACACACAAAATAGATTTAAAGCACAAATGGAGTAAAAAAAATAGCATACCATTTGTTTTTTAAATAGTAAAAAATACAAAGTAGAGCAATATATGTATTATTATCATATTTCTATTATAACAGATTATAATAAAAACATTTTAAAACGCTACGCAAAAGTTTTCATGTTTCAATACTATGATTGTATTTCCTCAACCGATGGTTGGTAACTGGTCATAAAATGATTTTTAAATGTATGTTAATGAAAAAAATCATTGTGATATTGATTGCATATGAAAATTACGGAATTTTTTTTTACGAATCTCTGGAGTGGCAAACATTAAAGATGACTGACAAGATACTACGATTAAGCTTTTTATTATATTTTTCTAGCATACTTATAAGAGATTTATTTTAGGGGCATACAGTGCGTAAAAACTGCCCAAATGATTTTTGGATCCGAGCGCTTTCGGTTATTCTGTTAGCCATTATCAAAAATGTATTTGTTAGTGTTAATATTTCTATTGTGAAAGTCATTTTTTTTCTGATTTTTTTCGCAATAGAAACGTTTTAATCGGCGACCACAGTCATCACACTGTGGTCGTGTTCATGTGGTGATATTTTAAGCGTAGCTTAGGTGTGGCACAAGGCCGGAATTATGGAGCACCCAGTGAGGATAGATCTCACTGCTCAGTTGTAATTGTTCTAGCGAGATGAGTTTGCTAACCATTACACGACGCCTTGTTGCCCAATGACTGTGATCATATGAGCACGGCCACAATATACTGAACATGTTCGGGAATTAAAACAATGTACTTAGTGCTTTCGGGAATTAACACATTAACAAAATTACTATACACGATCTACATATTAAGACAACAGATTATCCTTCATAATCTCTAACAGATTAGGCAAAAACGAACGGATTCAAAAATCTTTTAGACAGTTTTATACACACTGTATTGGAAAAGACAAATCTTTTGAATATCAAACAAATATAATAAAGAAACCTTTGAGCCTTGCTTTTCAATAATCAGAGATCAGTGAAACATATGTATTTATCTATATTTAGGAATGGATTATCTATTTATTAATCCGACATATTTTAAACGTTATTCTTAATGGATACTCATATTTGAATAGACGCTTTGGGTTTATTTATATATATTATTTATTATTCTATCGTACTAGCCTGAATATTCGAGAAATCCTATTAGAAATATTATGCGCTCTCCGGCAGGATTCGAACCTCAAAAATGGGGGAAAAACTGACATTGAATATGATATTTATAAGAAGCTTTTCCACGAAGAACATGTTGCTAAAACAAAGCCCGATTTTAATTTTTGAATACAAACCTTTCTGAATATTCAAAAACCAGATGGAATAATAATAAATACTATTTAATAAATAATATAAAATACTATTTAATAAATAAAAACAAAGCATCTATTTTCAAATATGGGTATCCATTAAAAATAAATTTTCATGAATATATATATATATATATATATATATATATATATATATATATATATATTTGGCCCATTTCGTAATTAAAATTATTTTTATTTTGACTTTTTTTCTTTTTTATTATTAGGGCTTCCATTATTTTTAATCTTTTTTTACAGGTGGATGACGTTATGTTTGTGTTTTCTACTAGTAAGTTTCGAATAGAATCTGCTTGGACTGTGTGAGTGTTTAAATGGGTTCTAATAGAGCTCGGATCAGATAGGTGTAATGTAAGGCGTCTGGATAGGCATGTAGTTGTGTGACCGATGTAATTATTTATGAGTTCGGTCTGATCAGGAACTCAATTTCTTTAAGGGGCATTTAAACTCATAGATAATGTTCGTTCGTTGTAATTTTTGACTTAGCAGGTGTGTTGTTTTTGAGGATAAGGTTAGCTGTCTTAAATTTTTTATAGAAGTTAATTAATTTGATTCTTTTTAGTGAAGAACATGATTTGTTGATTCAATATTTAATGTGCATTTGGTTTTTGTAGAAAATATTTATGTAATTTTTGACTGTATGTTCATGATATGTCACGGAAAAGGATATATTTGTTCGAAGTAGCAAAGTGGTTCTGCACTACCGTAACCGGGTAGGACAATCTAGCTGGTAACCGTAATGGACTGGTCCTCGTCGTAGTGGTAGGCAATAGGCGTAGACAATAGACGAAGACAATAGGCGTAGTTCCTGTACCTCCACATCAGTCTGTATTTATGGCTGACACCAGCCAATCATATTACTGTAAGGGGGAACCCAGGAGTATGCATATTCATTACATCATTTCACTATCATTATTATTTATATTGAGAAATGTTTGTTTTAGAAAATATTATAAAAAAATTTAAATAAAAAAATTTTGGCACGATTCCAATTAATTCATTGGTATCTATATCGATTTTATGTAAAAAAATCTTTATAATCAATATCTAGATTAGGCAATTTAACTTTGATCTCTAAAAAATTTATTTTACGCTACCCCAATCGACACGAATAAAAGAAAATCAAATTGACTATCGACAAGTATTACCGAATATAAATTGTGTAAATAAATATATTTAAAATATATATTTAATTTTCAAAACTAATTAAAAAAATCACGATTTTAGAAATAGTAATTTTCTAAATTTATCATGAATGA